CGACCCGAACTGGCGATCTGAAATGCGATTGATCTTGTACTTGTAAGACCAGGTTTTTACGGGCGTGGCTTTAAAATGAATTCACACGATAGAATGACTATACGTACAAGATCAATATCAGTTCAGCTTTCTATTTCTCGTCGTGCAAAAATAGACACGTGGTCACTGTGCATTGCGCGGTCGATCAGTCGAAACACGACCCGAATTGGCGATCTGAAATGACCAAGTTTTTACGGGCGTGGCTTTAAAATGAATTCACACGATAGGATAACTATACGTACAAGATCAATATCAGTTCAGCTTTCTATTTCTCGTCGTGCAAAAATAGACACGTGGTCACTGTGCATTGTGCGGTCGACCAGTCGAAACACGACCCGAATTGGCGATCTGAAATGCGATTGATCTTGTACTTGTAAGACCAGCTTTTTACGGGCGTGGCTTTATATGACGTAATTTGACCTTGGCCGTTCTCACATTGACTTTGAGTATACATGTTTTTGAAATAAGATTTGGTAATATTCTTAACTCTGATGCTTTCAACTATATTTATAATGTTGAATGACTTATGGGTAAAATGAATATTCAGAAGATAGGATAACTATACGTACAAGATCAATATCAGTTCAGCTTTCTATTTCTCGTCGTGCAAAAATAGACACGTGGTCACTGTGCATTGTGCGGTCGACCAGTCGAAACACGACCCGAACTGGCGATCTGAAATGCGATTGATCTTGTACGGGCGTGGCTTTAAAATGAATTCACACGATAGGATAATTATACGTACAAGATCAATATCAGTTCAGCTTTCTATTTCTCGTCGTGCAAAAATAGACACGTGGTCACTGTGCATTGCGCGGTCGACCAGTCGAAACACGACCCGAATTGGCGATCTGAAATGACCAGGTTTTTACGGGCGTGGCTTTAAAATGAATTGAGACGATAGGATAATTATACGTACAAGATCAATATCAGTTCAGCTTTCTATTTCTCGTCGTGCAAAAATAGACACGTGGTCACTGTGCATTGCGCGGTCGACCAGTCGAAACACGACCCGAATTGGCGATCTGAAATTGCCAGGTTTTTTCTTGCGTGGCTTTAAAATGAATTCAGACGATAGGATAATTATACGTACAAGATCAATATCAGTTCAGCTTTCTATTTCTCGTCGTGCAAAAATAGACACGTGGTCACTGTGCATTGCGCAGTCGACCAGTCGAAACACGACTCGAATTGGCGATCTGAAATGACCAAGTTTTTACGGGCGTGGCTTTAAAATGAATTCACACGATAGGATAATTATACGTACAAGATCAATATCAGTTCAGCTTTCTATTTCTAGTCGTGCAAAAATAGACAGGTGGTCACTGTGCATTGCGCGGTCGACCAGTCGAAACACGACCCGAATTGGCGATCTGAAATGACCAAGTTTTTACGGGCGTGGCTTTAAAATGAATTCACACGATAGGATAATTATACGTACAAGATCAATATCAGTTCAGCTTTCTATTTCTCGTCGTGCAAAAATAGACACGTGGTCACTGTGCATTGCGCGGTCGACCAGTCGAAACACGACCCGAACTGGCGATCTGAAATGCGGTTGATCTTGTACTTGTAAGAGCAGGTTTTTACGGGCGTGGCTTTAAAATGAATTGAGACGATAGGATAATTATACGTACAAGATCAATATAAGTTCAGCTTTCTATTTCTCGTCGTGCAAAAATAGACACGTGGTCACTGTGCATTGCGCGGTCGACCAGTCGAAACACGACTCGAATTGGCGATCTGAAATGACCAGGTTTTTACGGGCTTGGCTTTAAAATGAATTCACACGATAGGATAATTATACGTACAAGATCAATATCAGTTCAGCTTTCTATTTCTCGTCGTGCAAAAATAGACACCTGGTCACTGTGCATTGCGCGGTCGACCAGTCGAAACACGACCCGAACTGGCGATCTGAAATG